TGGCCCAGGTCCCAATCTTTGTAGTAAGTCCCCACATGCAAAAGGAGCTTATAAAGTACAATCCTATACACTTTCAAGAGACGTGAAATAACCTTGGTTAGGAAGCATCATGAAGAGCCATTTTACAATGGAGGCAGAAATTTACAGAGGTGTTCACAATGCAGAGCCAATATATAATGCAGAGAGTCTGGAACCTGTCCACCTCAAAGAAAATCCTACAGACATTTTATTAATCTAAATCACTCATGAGATTAAGCAAAGTCAATACAAGAAATGTATCAGTTTATATTTCCATTTGTTTCTGTTTTTACAGTGGAATTTTTGCTTGGCAACTAAAGCTTTGAAATAGCTAATTGTGATAGTAACTACATATATGTGAATGTCAGATTTAATTGGGTTTAAAGAAATAAAAGAGACCACAGAAAAATCACCAACAGTGATACAGAAAAAATAGTAATAATAAATCAAAGGGACCCACAGGGGTTTGCCCCAAATGTTTATCTACTCCTCACCTTTGTCCTGAAACATTCTACTCTACACCCAGCTTCTGGTTATTGAACATAATTTGGTTGATGTCTCTTGAATTGTATAATCTGCTCCAAAAAAAAAAACAACAAAAAAAAACCCAGTTTGTCTCCAAGCTACTTTTAAGACTCTAACTCCCTGGTTACATGCAGTCTATGGAAAACAGCTGTGGCAAAGTAAATCATCCTACCCTGAGAAAGACCACAGTGTATTTTTTTTTTTTAACTTTAAGTGTGTTTTGAAGTCCTGGTTGGAAAATTAGTGAAAATTGTAAATCTGTTTGCAAATCTGGTCATGTCTAACTCTGAGATTAGGGCAAAGATTTCAATTTAAAAGTAAAACCGTGACAACTCCAGTTAAGCATGTCCTCAGGCACTGCCAGCAGGGCCTTCACTCACATCCACGGGCAGTGGATTTATTATGGGTATGCGACACGCTCCCCATCAGACACCCCTGGAGTATTTATTTGAGACAGCAGGGTTCAGTCTGCACTTCCTCTGTAGACCAATATATTATTATAAATTGAGCTAAACTGTTTCCTTTTCATAAGTGCTATGAAGTTCAGATATCAGCACAGGGCTGGAGTCCTTCCATGGGGTTCCTTGATACTTGGATTTTTAAAAAGTAAACAAAGAGGCAGTATTAGATTATGCTAGCTTTTATTTTTGTTTTTTAATAGGAGATAGAGGAAGGTTCATTTTAGCAATTACAGATGACATCTTTGTAAGAAAATATATTCTAAATGCACACTTGGCATACACTATCCTATACCTACCACAGCTAGGAAGGGAATCAACTATTTCACCTCTATCTGAAGGCAGGAGTTAAGGAAGCAAAAGATGTCATATCTTGTATATAAGCTCCTAGAAAGTGATAACATGAATTTCTTTTATCACCTACCATGAATTAAGGGTCCCAATGTATATTTTAAATGTATATTCCAAAAGAATAATGAAATTATTTAATGTTTTCATTATTAATCCAGTTCTTAAACTCTGAGAAAAACATAACTTTAAAAGGAAAGAGAAGAAACAAAGAGAAAATCATCATCTTTTCTCCCCTTTCTGAAAAGCCATTAGGTGAGCCAGAGGCATCACACTGAGGTGCGGGGGTGGGGGGGGCACAAAAGCCCAGAGCAAGGGTCAGTGCTTGAGTGGGGTGAGAAGGACAGCAAGCAACCACCTAGGGGCAAGGGCTGATGCAGGGCACCAGACCTAGAGTGGGATAAAATGGCAGGTTCCAATTCATACTCCTTCCTAGCTGAGTAGCCATGGCTAAGTACATCAGTCTTAAATCAATTTCTTCTTTTGCAAAAACAGTTAATGTTTGTCCAGTATTTACTAGTGGCACATTAAAAGAATGCTTAACTTTTACAGCATGCCTGTAATCCCAGTATTCTGGAAAGTTGAGGCAGGAGGACCTCAAGTTTAAGATCAGCCTGAGCAACTTGGTCTTTTAGTGAGACCTGTTTCAAAACAAAAGACTGGGAATGTAACTCAGTACAAAGACCTTAGGTTCAATCCCCTGTACTGCATACACACACATAAAAAGAATGCTTGACTTGTTAGTCCTTGATAAATATGGTTCTTATTCATGTTACTACAATTGCACACATACACATGTGCAAAAAAGACCGAAAAGGAATATACCAATCATGAATAAAGCCTAATTTATATATTTTTCTTTCATATTACACTTTTCTATAATGAGCACATACTGCTTTTCTAATCAGAAGAAAACATATAAGATTGTTATTAAATATACAGAAGATAGACAAACTTTTACAATGCATATCTACCATTTTTTACGCAGAAAAAAATAATGAAGCTATTTTAAAGACATCATTCTGACCTTTTTTTTGTACTGGGGATCAAACTTGGGACCTTGTGCTTTTGAGACAAGCAGCAGAACCACTGAGCTAAATCCCTGGCCCTGTCCTTCTATTTTTTTATCTTTCCCCATGGCTGGGGGTTGATCACAGGGCCTTCAAACTGAAATACAACCCAAGTACTTTTTTAATATTTTTTTTATTTTGAGACAAGGTCTCACTAAATTGCTAAAATGTCCTGGCTGGGCTGAAACTTGAAATCCTCCTACCTCAGCCTGCCAGAAAGTTGGGATTGCAGGCCTGTGCCAACACACCTGGGTTCTCATCTCTTTTAGAGCTGCAAATTACTAATAGAAACTCCTGAATGGGAATGGGACCAAGAGAGTGGGGGGAGGGAGTTAAAAAGAATCAAGATGTGCATGTACATGTACTAACTCCTCATGATGAATGTGATCATTATGTACTGAAAACCTGTACTAATAAAAATAAAAATTACAAAATATGTAAAAAATATCCAAAGGAAAGTTAATTATTGGCTGGAATGAACACCCATATGCACTCAAAAAAAATTCGAAATTTTTTGTGGTACATAAAGGTGTAACAAGAATCTTTCTGCCTACAAATGATATTCAACAATGGGATAGATGCTTCAGAATAGAAACTCAGCTCCTGAGGTCATGGAGAAGGGGGAGGGGGGAATGACCTTAACACTATGGACATTCTACATGGCATGTCCGTCTATTTGGATCCAGTTGAAATGGTTCCATTTAGCGTGGAAAAGCATTGTACATGGAGCCTGCAATCCATTCTGGTCTCTGCTCTGCTTCATTCTAACAGAGAGATGCAGGTAAATTACTTAGGAACAATTGGTGCCACCTCCCTCAGAAGACTGTTTGGAGATTAATTTCTCTTGTGTAAATCATCTGTACACTGTAAAGAAACATGCAAATGGAAGCAACAGATTAAGATCAGTATTAAACAAAAGCAGGAATCATGGCCCCATGAGAAGAATTTAAGGTAAAGAGACACAGCATTGAGTAACATTAAATCACCATGTGAGTCTCTACATAATCACCTTATAATCCTCCTACAGACATTAAGAAGAAAGTCTCAGATTGGTAGCATTACATAGTCAACACTTCTCTAATAGTTACTAATCTCTCTCTTTTTTAAAAAATACAGACATCACTAGCAAAGAAAAGTAACAAGAACTTAACGCTGCTTTAGTTTCTCTATTTATATTTCTAAAACCCTTTTGGCTATGCCCAAGCGATACTGGTTTTCTACTTAAAATAGTAACACAAAATCTCCTTTTAAAATAAATTTATTCCAGCCAAGAATGGCATATGCCTGAAATACCAGCTAATCAGGAGGCAGAAGTAGGAGGATCATAAATTCAAGGCTAGCCTAGGCAACTTAGCAAGATCCGGTCTCAAAATTTAAAAGCTAATAAAATAAGCTATGCTTGTAGCTAAATGGTAGAGCACTTACCTAGCAAGTATATGGCCCTGGGTGTGATCCTCGCCACAATAAGTGTATAAATAAATAAATGTATGTATATCAGTGAAAGAAAAAAGAGTAAGTTTATTTAGGGAGAAACAATAAAAAAATAGTACAGGTAGCAGATATGGCAAGAATCTGGAAACTGATGTGCAAAGAACTAAAAATTGGAAAATGTCAAAGAGTATACGCTGCACTCCTTCAAGGAAAGGACTAAGATTTACATACTTTCAATATCTCTCCCAGGATCTTACCCAGTACCTGAAATACAGAGGTCTATATGAATACTCTATTAACAAGGATTTAGTGCTTGTCCTGAACACTGGACTGAGGCCTGGTTCTTCCTGGCTCCAAAACCAAATCAGTCCATTTCCTCAGACAGATCACAATGAGATAAACCTTGGATAATCAGGCACAAGAGCCAAAGAAGAGAATCAACTCTAAGGAGCTTTGCGAGGAAAGAAAAAAAAAAAAAAAACGATACTGCTTGCACACTGCATTGGATAACAAGTAGAGATTCCCAAAACAAAACAAAAATGTTACAGTTCAAAGAAGCACAAGTAGAGCCCCTACACTTCATGCTGCAGTTAGACTAATCACAACTGAAACACTGTTTACCAAACAAATAAATGACAAGTAGAAAGATCCTGTCCTCAGGTCAGTGTTTCTGAGAGGAAACTAACTTCAAAAGTAGCATCAAGAGGATAAGGAAGTTGAGGCCACCTCAAGCCCTTCAGCAAGACCCTGACTCACTACTGCCAAAGTGGAAGGGGTGAAAGAAATAACATAGGAAAAAATGTTCTCACTACTAAAAGTTATACAGACAAGGAAATATTTTTCAAAGTTACACTGATAAGTTGAGCTGGATGACTTAGTAGCTCTGATGAAGAATCATGAAAATAGTTTAGAATATTTGGGAACTTCAAATGTGCTAAACATTCAGAATGAAAAGAAAAGCAACTTTTTAAAAATTTAGCAGTATCTTGAAAAACGAAACACAACTAAGTTATCTGTGCTCACACAAAACATCCATTATTAATACAAAATACTCAAAAAGCTTATTTCAAAAGATGTATTAAAAATAAGTTGTCAATAATCTAAATATAGATACTAGAGAATTAATATAATTTTGATCTCCTGAGATTACCGAGCATAAAATAGCAGTCTCCTTGGTGAAGAGGTATTGCCAAACCAGGCGTCTCTATGTCCCATGAGATCTTAAAACCAACATGCCAGGTATCAGGATCTCTGCCTTCAAGATGAGAATTATCCTCACTTTCTCCTTCAGGATCTGTCAAAAGAGAAGAAAGTGATCAGGAAAAGAATGCATAAACTAAACCTCTGAGTACAGCTATTTTCTTAGAAACAATTAATATTTTAATAAAGTATGGATATTAAGAAAAATACTTCCTCCTTTATGTCATGTTTTTAAAAAGATTAAATATTTTAACACATCATGTATATTCTCATCAAAAAGCATTAATTAAAATAAGGAAAGGTGCCGGGGATTTAGCTCAGTGGTTCGGTGGCCTGCTTTGCAAGTGCAAGGACCCAAGTTCAATCCCCAGTACCAAAAAAAAAAAAAAAAAAAAAATTAAAATAAGGAAATAACCATGGACACCAAAGAAGATAAAAAATTATTTTGCTCAATTCTAAGCAAACAAATTTAGATATGCTGAATTAAATCGATAGTTTTTAAGGATGATATTAATTGACAAAAGCAACCTAGGAAGAAGTAGAAGAGCTAAATAAACCACAGAGGGTATAGAAAAACTTATGAAAGCATTCTGTCACAGAAAAATGCAGGAACAGAGTTTCAAAGAATTCACTACTAAACAATTTACTTTAAATTTTTTAAGATCAAAGAAATTTCCAAATTCAAATTTCAAAATTCCAAATTCCTTTCCTGAAAAGACTGTGTATCAAAACTCAAAAAGAAAGCACACACATACACAAAGCAATTTTACATCTGAACATCAAAATAACTTTTTTACCTCTAAGAAAACAGAATCCAATGCAGCTGCATATTAAAAGAACAACCTTCCATGACCAAGTAAAATTTATTGTGAGAATACAAGGGTAACTCAATATCCACAATTCATCCTATTCATAAAAACAAAATAAAAAGGCTATGAATCCTAACTCTTCCTTTCATTAAAAAAAAACTCAACAAAGAATAGATGAATATGCTCTCAACATGATAAAATATAAACCCATCTCAATCCCAAAGCCAGCATCATATTTTAATAGGGAGATTCTAGAAACATTCCTGTGGTTAAAAATTTTAAAAGGATGTGGCACCACAATGATTTATCCTTATTCCAGAAGGAACAGTCAATACAATGGTACCCTGTGGAGATGTGAATAGAGAGACCCAATTTAGACAAAAAAAGAGATACAAAATGTTTAAATGAAAACAAAATAAAACTTTGCAGATTATATTATTTATCTATCATTATTTATCTGAAGATCTAATGAAAATATATCCCATTCAAGAGGCAAAGTTTAAAATGCTAGCTGCAAAATTAAATCACCATAATTAATAACTTCTAAAAATATAAACATACTCTGGGCGTGGCGGCACACGCCTGCAATCCCAGCACTTGGGAGGCTGAGGCAGGAGGATCGCTGTGAGTTTGAGACCAGCCTGGGCTACATAGTGAGTTCCAAGTCAGTCTCAACTACACAGTGAGACCCTGTCTCAAATATA